GTTCAATCTATTAAATCACCTCAGTTCACAAGATGTCATTTTTAGCCATCACCTAAATTAAGGTCTTCTTTGATGAGTGCATGGACATAATGAATTCACTATCCATGCAGTAAACAAATATCTATAATTTTTAGGCATTGGTTTCATGATGTATTGTATATCAAATAAAGTTTGCCTGAGGATCAGAGGACAGAGCCAGCCACTAGATTAAACTTTGAGGCCAGGCTGTTGTGGCACAACCTTTAATCCTAGCACGTCAGAGACACAGATCCATCTGGATCATCTGGATCATGATGAGTTCAAGATCACACTAGACTACATGAGATTGATTCAGTCTAGTAGAGAAACAGAACCAGGCAGTGATGGTACATACCTTTAATTCCAGCACTTGAGATCCCATGTTGCTACCAGGATTTGAGAAACACATAGGCCATTAATGCCAGCAGTAGGAAGGAAGTGAAATGGCTGGGTGGAGAAAGGCATATAAGGTGTGAGAAGACAGGAACTAGAGCCAGGTTTCAACTGAGAACTTAGAGGTATTCAGTCTGAGGATTCATGGAGATAGGATCTAACCTGTCTTCGGACCAGAGGATTAAAAAGTGGTGAGAAGTTTCTATAGTGGCTTGTTCCTTTGTCTCTCTGATCTTTCAGCATTTACCTCAATATCTGGCTTCATGTTTGTATTATAAGACCATTTAGATTTAGGATTTTGCAACACATTGGTAAGTGCTATCTGTAGAGAAATATCAGTATGGTACCACCAAACCCAGGGATTTTCCTTGAGTTCTTATTAATTCAATTTATATAATTTCTTAATCATGAACACAGTGCTCTATTTTGATTAATCACAAGGCATATTCCCTGGCTGCTGGACCATGTCCAGCTGTCTGAATTAGGACTTCACCGTGCTTTTTACTACGATGCATTAGGGGGGGGGGAGCAGAGTAGCAGCTTAAGTGTGCACAAGGCTATTCTAAAGGAAACCAGACCAGGCTCCCAAAGAGGTATTTTGAAGGAAAATGTCTGTAGAGGCAGCACAAACTCAGTGAAGGCAGAACTACGGAGATCTAGAGTTGCATGGTTTAATAATTTGAAGGAAAATGGTTCCCATAGGCTCAAATGTTCGAATATTTGTTCTACATTTGAACAAACACTTTAAGAAGGATTATGAGGTGCAGCTCAGTTGAAAGAGTTGTGTCAGTAGGTGTAGGCATTGATGTTTCACAGGTTTAATCATTCCCAGTGTCCTGTCTGTCTCCTGCTTATGGACCGAGATATGAGCTCTCAGGTGTTAGGTCTCCATGCCTTTGTTCACCACCACAGACTTTAACCTTTGGAAACTTTAAGCCCAATTAAATGCTTTCTTTTAGATATTTTCTTTGTCATGGGGTTTTGAATCAGCAATAAAAAAAGCAACTAAGAAGGAAGGTACTACCATG